GATCTGTGCTACCTCTCTACTCAGGTCTTGCCAAGCAGGCTTCCATGTGCGCCGACCTCAGATTTACACGACTGCTTTACTTGGGTTTTGTGTAACTTGTACATTACACTATTGTTCCACAGTCTCTCAGTATGAGCTGGTGTGACCTAGTTACAGATGTTGATCCACCCTTATACTCACACTGTACTAAGAATTCGAATTTTCATCACTGGTGAAATTCGAACTCTGTTCTTGCCACTTGGGGTGCAACAACTTTACCACTTCACTAAGTCACCACACCAAGATATAGCATTTAGTATAAAATCTATAATATACTATTTATATACAATCTACTTAAATAAGTTGTATATGACTAGTTATACTCTTCAAATATATATATCATATTGTAAAAGTTAATACTATAATCAAATAAATAAAATACAATCAAAAGATTACTTTAACATTAAAAAAAAGTATTAAAATAGCTTTATTGTTTTTAAAAAAAGCTTTTTTATATATAATGAAAACAGCAAAACAACATACCTTCTAAACCTAATCACAATAGAACAACAACATATATAACAACTACTCAAAATATAACACGATATAAAATACTATATACCTATAGTTGACTCTGTAGTCTACCTAATCAACATCATAATGACAATACTTGCCCACCTCTTGGAAAGCAATTAGAAAAATATCTTTATAGACAATTATATGGATTAAATATAGCACTCCAACTAATAATATTTTACATTATCAAACTAGGTAAGTTTTAACCACTCTAGTAGGTTTAGGTTGCAGATGAATTAGAATTTCTAGTTTAGATAGTTTCTGGTAGTCTGAATCTCATTCTTGTAAAAATTTTTGTAAATTGGCTCCGGCCAGAAAAACTTATAACAGATCCTCAATATTAATAAAGATAAAGGCAAAACCTCACCTTAAAAAAAAAGCTTTTTTATACTACTTTTAATTTTAATTTTATTAATTATACTACTTTCAATATTAATATTCTTCATTACATTCAGAATTGACTCTTTAATACTCTCTATAGCTAGAATATCATTTTTTTTTTGCTTTACTGACTTTAATATTCTGATTATAGTTAAAACAGTTTTATTTATTATCTTTTATTCTCAGATAATAAAATGATATTTATTTTCACCTCACCAGGTTTGAACTTGACTTTTGGTTTTACCTTTAATTTTGGCATTATAAGGTTGGCGCAGCTTCCAAAACTCATATTACAGTACTAAAACATAAAAAACAATTTAAAGAAAGTATAGCAACAGAAAGAAAGTACTACATAAGATTTAATATAATTATCATTTTTTGTATAGGGGAAATGGATCGGAATACCAATATTGGGTGTCTAACATGAGTCTGACATCTGAATATCATGAGCCACGAATATGCAATTTTAATGCTTAAGAACTTTTTGAATACTACAGTTTTGTAGAATTTAAAGAGCCCTTAAACATCAAAATTGGCTACTTTTGTACAAAATCATGTGATATATACAATTAGGTCTAGGATATATATGTAAACCCGGATATATTCTAAGGGTGTCTTTTTTAACCACAATCTCTGACATAACGATAAATCATTCAATTATCATTTCCATTCTTGGCCGATTTTGGTAAATTGAAGTTTTATATTATCAAGAACATTCTAACAGCATTTTCTATCTTGTTGCCTTTAATAGTAAATTGTATAGCGGTTTAAAACATGTGATGTCTATGGTTGAGTATTCGGATCATGTTTTAAAACGGTGAAGAATTTTTTTTTGCTAACCTAATATAGGGTTGATCGGACAGAATTATTTTGCTGACAAAGTTGATTGATTTAGGTTAGAGTTGAACTGATTTATAGTAAAGATTTGCTAGTGATAGATTGCTGGCGAATTCTACCAAACGAATATTGTCTATGATCGAGAAATACAAGGATGTCAAATTTTTTTGAAAGGAATGTAGGTCTTGTAAGTATATCACTAAGACACAGTAATTTACAGATTTTAAAATGAATAACGGATTAGTACTATTATAGCTATGTTACCAATAAATTTGAACTCTATAATGCCTTATGATTTAACTGATTCGAAAGTTTATTAAAGAACCTGAAATCATGGTTATAATACCTAAACAAGTAAAATGTCTTTTCAAGAAATTTTTAGAAATTAAAAACTCTGGCTACATGCTGACATGAGTATTCATGAAAATTTGAGTCTAATAATTTAGATCAACAACCAAAAAAATATCCGACCGCCCGCATGAATTCGCATGAATGCGTATGAACATGTATAAAAATTCTATATGTATAAAATTTAGATGAAACATTATTTATATGAAACAGAATCGTGCATATAAATGTGTTCTAATACATATTAATGCACACGTATTGACCAATCTCTGGATTTTTCTTTACGTAGTATCTAGAGCTGACAAATTTACTAAAATTTATATATAAACCTTGATGGGAAAATGCGCATGTTTTAGAAATCATGTGTATGAATGCACACTGGTCCATCTCTATGTCCGACCGAAACTTTAAAATGCCAGATAATACAAAACGAAACAGTAACTTGGTGTGGCCTTAGGACTAGATGAATTTAGATAAGTAAAATTGCCTTCTAGACATTTGTAATAACAATACCCCGGTCACTGTATCAAGATCACGGGGTATTCACATGTGCACAACTTTCCGCTAATACCTAACGGCACAGGATATATGTACTTTAAGGTGATTTAGACTGCCGTTTTCATTTCTGCTTATTATATGAGATTTTGTATTCAAAAAAAGATCTATATGAATCGCGAAATTTTTACAAATGTAGGTCATTAAATGACGGGAACAAAACTTATTAAAGAGTTTGACCCGTTATTCAATGAGTTTATAGAAACCTAATGCTAATTACACTAACGCGTTAAATTAAATATGCGTGAATTTTACGTAATGGCTATCAAACGCACGTAACTCCAGAAATCTTAATATATAGACTAGTGTGCGACGGGATATAAACTTATTAAAGCATTTGATCGTTATTTGAGTTTACTAAAATACATTAATGTTACACGAATATGCAATGGCTATCCAACGTTGGGGTGTATCTAATAATAAAAACGACAGTGATAGTAAAATATATAATAAAATTCAAGTCGCAATAACTCCTGAACAAGCAAACACACAAATAAAATTACGTTTGTCGGGTTCGTTTTAACATACTCTTTAAAGTACAATACTCTTTTTTTTTTTTTCTTGTGCAACGACGACAGAAATTTCAATGTTACATGTTTTTATTAAAAATGCATCAAAAACGAGAACTTTGCATAGAAATGGAGAATCCTCCGATACACTCCAGATATAATAACAATAAGAAAAAGGCGTTATTTCTTTAATGAACGACCGACAAATGTAATTTTATTTGTGTGGGTTTGCTAATTTTTGATCTAGAATTTACTATGATCCGCATCATTCGGACTAATTTTACCGAACCGGTTTTCAAATTTCCCTATTTGGGTGATCTATAAATTAACCAATCAAATGGGGTGATCTACATAGATTAACCAATCAAATCGTAAAATTTTTACGAGACAAGGAAAAACAAAAAACTTCGAAAATATAAGAAATGAATGTTTAAACTTCTCTTGATGCACTAATAAAAACCGTTGGGAGAGCAATTTTACCTATAATTAGTGTCCAATACCTGGTCTCTGAACAACCCTAGCCTAATTTTAATTGCTTCAATTTAACATCCTTCCAAATAAAATTTGTCCATTATTCGTACGTACGTACGTACATAATTAGACTGATAGATACGCCCCGATCCAACGTGCATAACGATAACCCCAGAGATTTTAATACGTATACAGATTTAAAAATATGAACCTTACTAAATTCCACTTATACTAACCTAATTAAAAAAAAAATGCGGAAAAACCTTTAAACCTTTCATATTAAAATAAATCGAATTTTCGGCTTCTTTGATTTAATCCCTATTATGGTTAATTATGCTAGACAGAAATTAATTTACGTGTCATAGGTTATACGTAATTATATTCAATTCTTCATATTTATCAAACATGGCATATTTTAAAAAAGCCGATTAGTTAGGTCAATATTTAAATAATAAATACTCTACTTATTTCAATTAATGGCAACTTACCTTTAAGTCGAATGAGTAAGAAAGAAATTAACTACGTAGAGGATTCATCCCTTTCACTTCCATATATTGAAAATCATGCTTTATCATTGGGCGCTCTTTGGGATTGTAATCTTTCCAAAACAGTCGGTTACAATCTATTTGAGAAACAGCTCACAAACGATAATTTAATAATTCATCCGTTAAAAAAACTAGATTACCGTTTAATCCATGTTAAGAGTACAGAAGACCAACTAGCAACATTAAAAATAGATGGTGCTATTTCAATTGAAATATTATCTGGTATTCTAAAATTAGAAGGAAATTTTGATAAATCGTTTTCCGGAAATTCGAATGAAGAACAACTTATCTGCGAATATAATCTTGATAATTATTTGGTCGAATTGCTTCCTAAAGCAAAAGATGTAATAGACGATACTGTTAGAGGTCAACTCCTTGAAAAAAAAATTAAGGCAACACATGTTGTGCATGGAATAATCTTAGGTGCAAAAGTGTGCGCAGATATAAGAATAAAACAAAATGATACAAGCAAAAATATGGATGCAAATGGCTATCTAATTGGAGATATTTCTTTTGGTTACGTAAACGCATCTTTGAAGACTAGCTTGAAAATGCTAGACTCAAAAAAGACCAGTAATTATGATATGCAGATAACTGTCAACTCTAAACCACCGATAAAAAATCAACCAACAACCATAAATCAGATGTTCAATATGATCGAAAATATAGATGTATGCGTTCAAAAAGAGTCATATTATAAATTTATTGGTCCTGATATTACAGGTGTACCTATTCGGTTTAATCTTGTGCCTATTTCTCAATTTCTCGACATTAAAGTCGAAAAACTTTATAAGCAGCTGCAAGACAGCATTTTAGAAAACTTTCGTACAATGCTCATTGCACTTAAAGATTATCAGTCCCATGAATATATCAAGAGATGTGTATTAAGAGCAGAACATCGTCTGCAAAAGATTTTATCTGATTCTCAATCCAAACTGTCAAAAGATATTACAGAATATCAAAATGATTTGAAAAAAACTACAAGTTATTATTTTGAACGAGCATACGAAACTTTAAAAAAATACAAGATTGGGAATTGTAGCTCTGAAGAACTCTTTCAAATCATGCGTGACTACGATGAAAGTGATTTCTGCATTGTAAGTGTATGCGCACAAATTGAAAAATTTGTGTCCGTTGGAAGAAATGAACTCAATGTTGTTCGTGAAAAGGACGCAGCTCTTATGAATGTTAATATTATTTATTTTACAAATTACGATAAACTGAATGAATGGTTGAATTCAGGAATAAATATCAAGATACTTTTACGGACTGGTACTGATTCTTCGAAAAAAAATTCCGCATTCCAGAGTCTTTTCAAAATAGTCAACGCTTTGCAAAAGCAAAAAATTGAAGTTGGAATAGCTTTACCAAGCATTTCGAATGACTTTTCCTTAGAAATTAAAGATCATAATATATCAAAAATTTACAGTGTGACAGAAATCCCACAAGTTCTCAGAATTTTAAGTGCTGCTGTAGACATGGGAAGCCCTATTGAAAGTCGCTTTTATATGCTGAATGCGTCACATTTAAAAATTAAATTACCGTTAGAACTTAAATATTTTTCTGAATTAAATAATATAATATCTTTACTGCAAATAGATTATAAGGTTTATATTGCTCATT